GTTGGAGAGGTCAGAGTGGAGTCCCTGAGACCCCCATGGGAGTGCCTGATGGGAAGCCTGCTTCCCCCTGCCACAGTGGCTGTGATGACGGCTCCAGCAAGTATGTCCAGGCCCCCAAAGCTGTGCTCAGGCAGCCCAGCCGAGGCAAAACGGTGAGGTGGCCTCAACTGGCTCCTCACTGCCTCATGTTTATTGCTCAGCCTGGGGAGGGGGTTGTTCTGAGGGCATCCCAGTTACGAGCCACCTTCCTTTGCTCAACGGAGGGAAGGCAGGAGAGGGCTTTCCTGGGAAATGAGGGGCTGAAAGAGGAAGAGGTGGGTTGTCTCCGGTCTCTGGCCATTAGGCTGAGGCTGGAGCACCAAGCCATACCAAGTTCATGAGGACCTAGCACCCACCCAAAGGTGGGGCAGGGAGGTGCACTAGAATGTCCCAGGAAAGTGAAAGGGTGCAGCAGAAAACACCCCTCTGGGGTCCCTGGCGGCGGGAGCTCTGCACGCACCCGTCTAATGGCTCCTGGGTGGAGCTGCCCCGGTTGGTATGGGAAGCAAGACAAAAATCACAGTTTCTGAACGAGTGGTTGGGAAGTTACTGGAAAATTCGGTCAAGTATAAAAGGTGTTACTTTTACAGAACCCAAACTAGCTTATATATTTTCTGGAAGATGTTTTCTTTCACACCCACCCATCCCTCTGACCCCCCCAAAGGAGGCAGCTGGGCTTTGCCTTTGTGACTGCCAAGTGAGGGGTGGGAGGCTATGAGCAAAGAGCAGGACCTGCGCATAGGGGGCTGAGGGGTGGCAAAAGGCACAAGAACAAACGGAGCCCGGGAGCATGGGGAGGAAGCCACTGGCCCGAAGAAACAATACTCAGCTTAGAAATAAACGTGATCCAGTCATTTCTGCCTACACGAGGCCCCGTGCCCGGCAGCTGCCAGGAGGGGTGAGCTGGGAGTGGTCACGGGGCAATAAGTACTGTACAGCCAGAGCAGGAGGCAAGGATGGGGGGGACAGAGCTGTTTGCATGAAGGCATTGGGGCTGTCAGACGGAGGAGGCAAGAAAGAAGGCCGCCTCTAATGTTATATATTAAAAATATCCATAGTTCTTGTGCATAAAATTCCATCATTCACATCCAAGTATTACCCCTACCTCCCTTGCTGGGCCAAGAAACAGCCTTTAAAAGAAAGATGGTGGTTTTCCTTTTCAAGAGCTGAGGAAACAGCCACTCAGTCTTTATGGACCTTGAGAACTGGTGAGCCTTCCCTCCCCCCAGTCTGCCTGGCCAGGCTCTGAGAGGGCTGGACGCATGGGGCTGGGTGGTCACTCGAGCCTCCGCTTGGAGGGTGGGATCAGGTGCGGGGGGAGGTCAGAGGGCAGCTCGTGGCCCTCCAGCTTGACTTTGATGAGGTGGTTGGCCAGGGCAAACTCCTCATCATCCAGCAGCCCGTCCTTGTCCACATCAGCCAGCTTCCAGATCTTCCCCAGCACCGTATTGGGCAGCTTGGACTTCACCATCTCCTTCTTGGCATTGGCGCCTGTGATCTTGCCATTGACGGGCGACAGAGTGTAGAAGATCTCGTCATAGGTGGGCTTGTCCTTGCCTACCACCCACTCGATGTCATCTATGCCTTCACCGGCCCCCTCGCCATAGCCGTGCCCGAAAGGCCCGTTCATGGTGCCGTCAAAGGCGCCACCCTTCACGGCCTGGGAGGGCATCAGGGACTCCTCCTGGCGCACCATCACCATGAGCCGGGCGATGTCGTTGGCCAGCATGTCATCCACTGTGTCCAGCAGCTTGGGCTTCAGAACCTGGAACTTGCTAAAGTCCTGAGTCTGCAGGAGTTCCTGTGGTGGGTGGGGAGGAAGAAGGGTGAGTTGGGTCCCTCTCAGACTCCAGGTGGAGTGAGCAAAGCAAGGGTTCCCAAGAGAAAGAGCGGGCTCCTCGTCATAGCCCCAGCCACTTCACAGCTCGGGCAACTTGAGCAACTCCACTGGGCCTTGGACCCCAGTCTGTAAACTGGAAGGTAAAAGCAGTCCCTTCCTTGCAGGGCTATGGAGAGAATGAACTGGGATGAGGCCAGAGTGCCTGGCGAAGTCCATCTTCCCACTGCCCCGGCTGTCACCCCATTCCCCTCAGGACCTGCGTCAACTTCTTCAATTCAGGCTGACGACTAACCCAGCTGCTTCCATTTTGGGAGCCCCCACCCCATGGAGACCCACTGCCCCAGGCCTTGCTCATACCCTAATGGCCACCAGCCTGCTGAGGGTGCGGGACGTCGTACCTGCATCTTGCGGAGGTTGGGGAAGTCGCCGGGAGAGATCTGATGCTCGCGCTCAATCTTCAAGTAGATCTCTCCCAGGTTGCTCACCAGCTCTTTCTTTTTGCTCTCTTTACCGAAGACATTGGGCATCTCCTTCTTGAGGGAGCTGATGATGTAGGCGTGAACCTGTGAAGACAGGGAAGGGGCGGATGTCAGGGGCTTCCTGGACACCTCGTCAGGAGCATGGTCCTGCCTGGGTTGCCCCACAAAGCTGGGGCTATAACCTGAGAGGCCAAAAGCAGTCCAAAGCCCACGCCCTGCTTCTCCACACAGCCTCCCTCCCCCAGCAGCCCCTCCACGTGGCAGATGTGCAGGGCCCTCACCATCCTGCATGTGCAAACGTGAACACTCACATCGAGGTCATAAAACTCCAACATAGCCTGAATTATGCTCCACTTTGTCAATATGAAAGCCACAGGGATGACTAAGGATTAGAAAAATCCCACAAGGCTTTTCCCAGATGTTTCAAGCTTTATGTCAGCTTCAATACCTTGCTTAGACATTTGCCAATTCAAGGCGGCACACCGTTCCCCACATCGGGGGGTAAGGTTGACAACCCTCCGAGGCACCAGCCCTTCAAATCCTCTGCCTTGACAATGTCCAGCAAGGAGGTCTGCAGCCAGCCAGCCAGCCTTGCCACCTTCTCCCAGACCCCACCCCATCAAATTCCCTCTGCCAACCAGCCCGTCTGCCCTGGGCCAGGAACCTGGCTGAGAGTGGCCCAAGGGAAGCAGGTCAGTCACACAGTGTCCCAGGCCAGAGAGTCAGCCAGACAGACACTCACTCCAGGAAAAGGAACAGCAGGTGGGGAACAAGATTGGAGACCACGGGGTTTCCCAGGCATGGTGACTCAGTGTGCCTTCAGGCCAGATGACACAACCCTTTCTGTAAACGAGCAGGCGACCAAGTCTGCCCTTTGTTCTGTCCTGGTAGGAGGCTGGGTCACAGCAGGGCTGGACCAGTCTCTTCTCCATTCACTGCATGTCCTCCTTCAGCTCAGGGTGTCCCTGGGCTCTTTGAGGCCAGGAACCAATTACTCAGGTTTTCTCACAGGTTCCTTTCTTAGAATGAGCTGCACTCACCAGGAAGGTTCTAGAAGTGATGTATCTAGAAAAACATGCAGCCCTGTGTCCTCCAGAGCAGGCCTCTGCAACTTCACTAGTTATATAGACCACCAGGGGTTCCGTTCAAATGCAGGCTCTGGTTCTCAGAGCACAGGTGGGGCCAAGAACCTATCTTCCAGCAAGCTCTGATCTGCTGGTCCGGCCCTCTGGGTCCCCAGGGAGGAGACACAGCCCAGTGGTAAAGGATGAGGGTCAGTTCCCATTGCTCAGGCCAAATGCTACCTGACGCCAGGTCTGAAGACAGTATGGGTGCCCTGGGCCACTGTGTTCTGTCCATGGTGGAGTCTCAAAGTCTCAGGGCTACACCCTGGCAGTCAGCTCCCTGGAGGCAGGAACATGGCCTGCAGGGCTCTTCTCGGCTCTCCCAGGACAGGGCCTGCTGCCCAACTGGGAAGCCCCATTCCTCAGTCCTGTGATACTCAGGAGCCTAGGGTGACCATTTCACTGGCCACAGAACTGCCTTCTCCAAAGTTGAAACACTCCCACACCGCCTTCCTATCCTCTGCATGCCACCCTGCTGTCCATGGAGTTTCATCAGAGAACCTGTGATGCACCAGCCGGGGCTGATGGCCGAGCTCTGGTGCCAGGAGGATCAGTGACCCTCATGTGCACACTGACCCAGCCTGAAGACTTACCCAGGCAGGTTCAAGACTTGGCACTATTCCAAATCAGATGTCCTCAGGGAACATGTTCTATTGTTCTGTGTTGGAAGGGTCCACTGGTGGCACTAACCTTCATTTCCCAGCTCAGTCACCCCAGGGTCTCATGTGCCTGGCAAGGCCCTGAGAGTCCAAATTCTTGGGCCCATGGTCTCCCCAAATGTGCTTTATATGCTGTATGCTTCCCCCTTATGGCTGCGCACTGCCATAAGGGTGGGGACTTGTTAGTCCCCTCTGAGTCCCCAAGCACCAGCACCTGCTGAGTATACTTCAGTGCTCAAGAGACCTAAGAGGGGAAGTGCATGAGGCCTTAAACTGCACCCCCCACCCCCCACTTCCACTCCCTAGGCTGTTGATGGTACAGTGGTACCTACCATTTTCAGGTTTATGTGCATTAAGAACCTCACTTAAAAAAAGCCTGTGCCCACAGGTGCAGAGAAAGGGCTGGTTGACAGTGCAATGGGGTTGTGGCTGGAAGTCTGCAGAGATGGGTCTTGGGCATCCCAAAAGGCAGGGCAGACCTATCCCCAGGCTCCAGTGGCAGTCCCAGCGCAAGAGCCCACCCAGGAGCAGGTCCTGGCTCACCCAGGAGTAGGCCATGCCCCACCCCAGTCTACCTTGGCCAGCCTCGCCCTCTTGATCAGGTCATTGAGCTTCCTGAGGGCAGCGTTCCGGGGCAGAGACTGGATGTCTTTGAAGAGATCCTGCTCCTCGGCCTCGAAGAGCTTGCGGTTGTCGGGGATGAGGAGTGGGTGAGACCAGAAGGAGCCGATGTAGACCCTGACCACCTCGGGAGTATTGATGATCTTCCCCAGCGACCACATGAGGGCCCCGTACACCCGCATCAGCTGCTGGGTCTCGATCTGGTCGGCCTTGTTCAGCACCACGCGGATCTTGTCCTCGTGGTTCTTGAGGGCCTTGATGACTTCTGAGAACTCGTCGGAGATGTCCAGCTTGTGGGCGTCAAAGAGCAGGATGATGCGGTCAACCCGCTCAGCGAACCACTCGAGGACAGCCGCGAAGTCGTACCCTGTGGGAAGAGAAAGGTGAGTCAGGGGCCCTAGGCAACAGGCAGCTTGGACCTACCCTGGTACCTCTCCACCTGAGGTCATTTAAATTTCTAGAATGTACTCACATGGACAGCACAGCACCCTGAGGGCAGGGTCATCAGGTCCCTCCATTTCTGTACCCACCATGGTAGTGCCCTCACCCACGCAGCACCTGGCATTAAGAGATGCTTAGAAAATAAATAATGCAAAGGAAGACACAAAGCCCAAGCTCTAAAGTGGGTCAGACTATGGCAAGAGTGAGGAGACCCCAGCAGCACGGCTAAGCACCGTGTGGCAAGGGCAGACTCAGGTGATGCCAGCCAGGTGCCCTGGCACAGCAGTGACAGCAAAAAACAACAATACTATCTGCCACCGCTACCTGTCCAGGCTCTGTTCTGCAGGAATCTCATGTATTCTCTACAACAGGCGCTGGCAAACTATAGCTCCAGGGCGAAATCTAGCCTACCACCTGCTTCTATAAATGAAGCTACACAGCCACCAAGCTCTACTGCCTATGGTCACATTTATCTACAATGGCTGAGTTCAGTTGTTGCGACAGAGACCGTAAGGCCTGCAAAAGCCAAATATATTTAGTCTCTGACCCCGACAGAAAAGTTTCCTGACCTCTGCTCTACAGCGAGCTTGTGAAGTGTGACAAACCACTTCCCTCGATAAGTCTTAAACACTTCTCTAAAACAAAGTGGCAGACTGAACTCTAGCTTTCCACTCCGTTCACAGCTGGTTCCCACCGACCAATGCCATCCGTGGCAGAGCGCTAATGGCAATTCTTCCTTTTAATAACAGAACTGTCCTGTTTCAGCTGGATTCACTGCCCTGCAGCTGGCTGGCAACAGCAATGAGCACCAAAAGGAGTATGGACCCTTTGTCGTTTTTCCCTCTCCTGAGGACTGGAATGTACACGTGATGACAGGAGCTGAAGCAGTTACCTTGCGTTCAGGATGACAGTTGAGCGTCCAGGGCAGCCTTGCTGGACTATCATCTTTCACATAATCACATAGCTACCTGACATCAGCTTTAAGCCAGTGGGTTTTGGGGTTTCTGTAAGGGCAGTTTAATTTGTATCCTATGTTGTAGTTATAGTTCTTCAAAATGTTTCTTCCACAGCCCCCTGAAGAAATGAAAATTCTGTTTCTCACCTTTTAGGACTCCCAAGGAGAGTTGGGAACCTACACGGAAACAATGATCTAAGAGTCTTTGGGAAGCCTGGGTCCCAGCCCCTGCGCTGCCATTTCCTCTTGGGTGATTCTGGGCAAGCCTCCTGTCCCTGGGCTCCATCTCCTGGTTCTTCACCTGCTACCCATGGGCCACCCAAATGTAGGCCGACCCCCTTAGGAACCACCAGTACTTCCCAGGGTGCAGCCAAGCTCCAGAGAATTAGTCAGAGAAGCCATTCCTATGGCGAAGAGCCAGGGACATTGTCCAGAAACTAGCCAAACCAACTTCTACCCCCCAGCCAAGTGGGGGTTCAAACCTGCATTTTCTAGACTGTGGGAACAGAAAAGCAAGCAGATAGAGGAGGAGAGCAAAGAAAAGGACAGTGTGAAGAAAAGGCCCAGCGTGACCTACAGTACTATGAGGAGGGCAGTCCCTCTCCTTCAGAAGCTGTGCAGTAATGCCAAGCCCCAGGGCCGAGTGCAAGTCCACAGCCTGGCTCCCAAGAGGCTGCCACCTCCACTGGGCCAGAACCCTGGCCCCCTGCCTGGTTGGATAAACATCCTGGTTGCCAGGCCCCCAGGTTCAAGTGTGCTTCAGATCTGTCTGCGCGCCTGAAGCCACAGTGTTCCCAGCCTCTCCCCACACTAGGCACTCAGAAAACACAGGCTTTTAAAGAAGATAGCTACGGACTCAACTCCCAGCTCCAGCCACTGACTTTGTGACCTTAAGTTCTTTTTTTTTTTTAATTTAAAAATATATATATCTTTATTGATTTCAGAGAAAGGGAGAGAGAGAGATAGAAACATCAATGCTGAGAGTGTCATTGATCAGCTGCCTCCTGCACTCCCCTTACTGGGGATCGAGCCCACAACCCAGGCATGTGCCCTGACCTGGAATCGAACCGTGATCTCCTGGATCCTAGGTCCATGCTCAACCTCTGAGCCATGCTGGCCGGGTGTGACCTTACATTCTTAACTTTTTTTTTAAAAATCCTCACTCAAGGAATATTTTTTCCATTGCTCTTTCAGAGAGAGTGGAAGGAAGGGGGGGAGGGGGAGAGAAACATCGATGTGAGACACATCAACTGGTTGCCTCCCGCACAAGCCCCGACCAGGGCCAGGGATCGAGCCTGCAACTGAAGTACGTGCCTTGGCGGAATCGAACCCAGCACCCTTCAGTCCACAGGCCGACGCTCTAACCACTGAGCAAGATGGGCCAGGGCTAAGTTCTTAACTTGTGAGTTACTCGTTCTTAGCCTGTTCCTCCTTCACAGATCATGGGAGGGTAACGTGAGGCAACACGCTGGGCTCCCAGCACAGGCCTAGGCACTAGAATGACTTCCGTGAGTTGGGCAGGCAAGGGGAGAGGTGACAGGGCCCACTGGAACAAGGGACAAGCAGCCCGGCATTGCATCACGGGTCAAGAACTAAGAGCGACAAATGTTGAGTCCGGCTCTGAGGCCAGAGGCCAGCTTTTGTGCCGTGGCAAGACAACGTAACTCAAGGAAGATCCCAAATCCACTGCTTCTGTCCACTTGGAAGGCAGCCTCTCCAGGGCAGCGATGTACAACCCTCCCACCCCAGAGCACCGGGAAATAGTGTGTTCTGAGCAGAAGCAGCCACTCAACGGGGAACTGGTTGGAAAGGGCAAGGCCACCAGACTCCCGTGCTTGGTATGGCAGGGCAAGGAGCAAGTCCCCTCACAGGCTGCAGGTTCCAAAGTACAAGTCCCTGTGGCCCCAGCACATTGCACAGTTGGGTCCCAGAGCCACGGAGAGGACGCCCAGAGCAAAGCTGTCAGCAGAAAACCAGAAAGGAAGGCTGAGGAGCAGGCTGAGGAAAGTGGGGCAGGGAGTGGCAGCTGTGCCAGGCTGGGGAGTCTGTAGGGCCTGCCCAGGCCACGCTGCTGCCACTTTTTATGGCTGGCTCTGGGACCGGCAGGTCAGCGCTGAAAAAGTGATGACTCAGGACTGAACAGCAGCTCCCTTTCAGCAAAAATGAGGGCCAACTTCTCCCTTCATCAAACTATTTGTCCTCAGACAAACAAGTTCAAATGACCAGAGTCACACAGCTGGGGAGGCAGCGATGCCAAAACTAAGGCATTGGGAACGGGGGCGCCCTGATGGGCTGGGCTTGAGCCCAAGTTAGCTTTGGCCCAGGAGTGAGGACAACGGCGGGGAGCTGAGGTCACCCCCACACTCCACCCAACGTGGCCTCTCCCTTCCCCCAATGGTGGGGGACCAAGAGCAAGATGGGGAGAAAGGGGGAGGTGGAGTGAGGCACCCGAGTCACTGCCTGCAGGTCTGAGCCCCCAGCCGAGCCCCCGCCGCCCGCACACTGCTGCTCGCCAACACCTCAACTGGGAGCCAACACAGTGAAGTCCATTTTTTGCAGGTGAATGAAATTTCCTGTTTATTATGGAAAACACTTTTGGTCAGAGAGACACAATGGCTGGCCAATTCCACCCACAGGTCATGAAAAGGGTCCCAACACTGAGCTTGTGTGATTTCATCGCAGGTGTGTGAGCTTCAACAACCAGGTGGCAGCAGCCACAGCCAGGCCCACCCAGTGCCCCTTAGCCCACCGAAGCCCACTGGGCTTCAGAAACGGTCACTTGACAGGCAACCGAGGGCTAGAGGCACAGCTGCAGCACCAAGAGCACCAATCAAGTCCGTCCCACTGGCCAGGCGGCCACAGCCACCACTCAGCCTGGACCTCTGCGGCAGGCGACAAACACAGAGAGGAGTTTGCCAATCCCTGCCGCCCAGGGCTGCCTAAGGCAGTGAGCCTTCAGGCTGTGGGACACACTAGAGGCCAGCCTCAGTGAGCCGATACATTTAGCCTCCCAATCGGGCATCAGACACCATGGAATGCACAGCGATTCCACAGCAAGTGGGAAGTCGTGGCATCCCTGGTGAAAGAGAAAACTGCCCCAGCCACAGAGATGGGACCCCGGTCTGCAGCTCCCACGAAGGACACAAAGAGTGCAGCCTGAGGGGTAAGCTGGAAAGAAAAGGCCGAGCCCGCAGTGCAAGCAGACGCCGGGCCGTCTCTGACGGGGGCCGGCTCTGGCTCGGACGTTGTGAGATAACAAGCCAGTCACAAAGGACAAACACTGTACAACTCCACTCACAGGAGGGACCTAGAGGCGGCCATCAGGGGTGAAGGAGGGAGAAGGGGGTCAGTGTTTAATGGGGAAGAGGTTCCTTTTGGGAAGAGGAGAAGGTTCCGGAGGTGGATGGTGACGGGTGTACAACAGTGTGAATGTCCTTAATGCCGCTGAACTGTGACTTAAAGATAAGTCTTAACCCCTCCCCCACACAGAGTCCTGGGGTGGGGGAAAATAGGAGAAAGGTGGCGCCCATCAGGCTGTGCGGAAGGAGGCCCTCACCTTGGCTGGGTTCCTGAACCTCCTCTGGTCCCCTTCTGCCTCACAGGTGGCCTCCTGAGGGGGTCTGACTTCGCACAAACCATGCTTTTGCCTCCTGGCACCTGAGGTGCAGAGGCAGCAGGGCGATTGATGCCTCCTCAACCTGTCCCAGCACCCTCCACACACAGGCAGTTCCAGCAGCCAGGGGGAAAAGCTGCTTCATACATTCCAGAAGTCTCTAGAACATGAACAATAGAGGGTTTGTCTCCAATCAACTTCTGTTTCCTGCCATTCAAGCTGCGTGGGCCTGGATATTTCTTACCAGCTTTCCATCTCACACGTTTCCAACTGGTGCTGGGCCCAGGAGAGCAAAATAGAGAGTAAAGGGCTGAGAACTGACACTGGGAGGGCTTGTTCCTGAGCCTACTTAAGCTAA